GTCCTCAGGCAGGGTCTCAAAGCAAATGAACTGCCCCTGCCAACCTGCTGAATTTCACTTTAATAATCATGCTTGTGTTTAGAGAAGGAGAGCCACATTCCAACTCCAAAGTCAGCTTTAATCTTTAATTGGATTTGGAACTACAAAAAGACCATTTGTGTTATATGTCTGTAGAGAACAGCAGAAGCAAACATTTGGGAAGATTTATGAAATTCTATCCTGTGGAAATGTGGTATACCAATAAGTTAATTTACTCTTCCTTGGGACATTTTTTTCTGGATGATTTTTCGTTTTTCATCAGATGACTCATTTGTCCAGTAGTCTTCAGATTCCTTAGCTGAATACCTGTATTCTCCTGAAAAGACAGAGACAAAACCCTTTCCTAACCCTAATTTTGGGGAGATTCTCTTTTGGCAAATTATCCGATCAAATGAAAAGCTTTTTAGTTTTATAGGTTAGTTCAGATTAAAAGGCCATGATGTTTGGTGAACTATTTTCTCTTCTAGTTAAAAGGTGTCTCTTGTTCAAATCAAATCTTTATCAATTTTGATAGTATCCATAGGTTTTCTTCTCCTGTACAAACAAAAGCAAAACCCCTTCTCCAATATAGCACATGTCCTGGTTTGCATTCTGAGGTCAGTACATCTTTAAAGTGTATCGACTGGTTTAATTCCATAGTTTTTTCTACCAGCCAATGTTTTCCCATAGCTTTTGTTCCCTTCTCATTAGCATTTAGAAATTTCAAAGTTAATAAAGCATTCTGCAATCTTTTTCTGAGAATATTTTTTCATTTCTTTCTGTTTATTTAACATAACCTTTATAGTTTGATTTGATCTTTCTATAACTGCCTGACCTGTAGGATTGTGTGGTATACCTGAAACTTGCTTTATAATACAATAAGCAAAAAGCTGTTTAATTTTCTTAGAGACATATGCTGGAGCATTGTCTGTCTTTATTTGTGCAGGTATACCCATGATGACCATAACTTCTAGTATATGTGTGATTACCAAATCAGCCTTTTCTGAACTCAAGCAGTTGCCCATTGAAAACCTGAATAAGTATAAATGGTGTGGTGTATATATTTTAATTTTCCAAATTCTACAAAAGGGAACACATCCATCTGCCAGATTTCATTCCTTTGAGTACTCTTTGGGTTACTTCCTGCAGGTGGTGGTGTTTGGTTGTACGAAGAACAAGTAGGATATATCCTTATAATTTTCTTGACTTGTTGCCATGTAATGGAAAAGTCCTTTTCTAAACCTTTGCTATTGACATGATGTTTTTTGTGAAATTCTGAGAACTTCAGCACATTTCTAATCAATAATTGACCAATTTCTGCATTACTTTGTGCTATAGGGCCTAGCAGACCCATATGGGATCAGGTGTGTGTTATGTATGTAGAATGAAGCCTATTCCTGATTATATCTTGAACCTAAATAAATAATTATGTCAATTCTGTGTCATCTGTTATAAATTCAGTGGTTCCAATATGCAAAATAACTCTTTCTGCATATTGCGAATAAGTAACTATGTTGAGGTTCTTTAAAATCCAATTAGTGCCATGAAAATAGCATATAATTCTGACTTTTGGACAGTCATAAGGGCTTTGTTACATTTTACTTAAATTTTCTCATTTGTGATTCTGAAGGAATCTTTATTCTGAGAAAGCTTTATTTATTAAAGTACAAATGAAATGCCACTGTAAGCAGATATCTTGCCTACAGAGGGTTTGTAAATTACTGAAGGAGATGCATTCATATGCTAATGACCGTATTCATAGACTAGTATATTTGTCTTAGTTTTCTGTTGCTGCAGTAAGACACCATGACCAAAAGCAACTTGGGGAGGAAAGTGTTTATTTCAGTTTACAGTCTGTAGTCTGTCATCCAGCAAGGTCAGGGAAGGAATTCAAAATGGCAGTAATCTAGAGGCAGGAGCTAATGTGTTGGCCATGGAAAAAATACTGCTTACTTCCTTGCTCAGCCTGTTTTTTGTTTTATGTTGTTTTTACTGCTCTTGTAGAAGACCCAGGTTTGATTCCCAACATCCACATGGTGTCTCACAACCATCTGTAACTTCAGTTCCAGAGGATCCAACACTCTTCTGACTTCTTAGGAACCTGGCACAAATGCAGTCAAATACATGTGTGCAGGCTCAAGAGTCATATACATAAATGCACCATAGATTTGTCCACAGACCAGTCTGGTGGGAGCATTTTCTCAACTGAGGCTCCCTCTCCCAAATGACTTTCTTCTGTCAAGTTGACACAAAACTAGCCAGCACAATCATTAGAGATATGAGGTGCAAACATTTCATAGGAAAACTTCTGACTGAAGCGATGAAGAAAAATTACATGGGAGAGAGCATATAAACTTAGCCTTGAATGGTAGGAAGAATTGGTGGAGAAGGAAATCAGAGAAGGGAAAATGAAAGCTTTCCAGTAAAGCCAGTAATGTGAAAAGGTACGGGCGATAATAAAATCAATAGGAGGGAAAAGTACAGGCAGAGCGTATATGTGCTGTGCATGTGTACGACGTCTGTATAATACATTGTAAAAACATATTCCTTACAAGACTAACTCATTTAGGTTTATAAAACTGGATTTTTTTCCCTTTTCTCTGTTTTCTAATTTTACACTGTGTAAACCTGTTCACTACTTTTAGGTATTTGCATCATGAAATATACCTCTTTGATGCCAGGCAGAGGGGTAGGACTTGTGGCTGCTCTGTATTCTAGTCAGACCCAGCAGGCCCTATCTATTCCCGATATGTAGGACTTTCTGGGAGCAGAATTTTAAGAGCTGCCTAAAATATAACAATAAAAGCTGGCGTGATATTTAGTGTCTATTCTGCCAGTCTCAGGGTTCTATTGGTTCAGTCAGTGATGCCTGAGAGGTTGGCATCACTGCTGTTTTATTGATATTATTTAAGAAGTTTCAGTGATTTGCCCGAGGTAGTAAATTATCAGGGCTACCATTTGCCTCCCAGGCCATTGACTATAGACCCTAAACTCTGAAAGGGTCATATCCTTGCTCCCTGAGAAGGCCCACAGTTGACTGGGGAGGTGTGGGTTTGGGAAAGGGATGAAAAAATCTGCTAAAAACCTATCACCAACAAGATCTATCCTGAGAACAATTATTTCAGAAATCTAGAGGCAATTTCTTTGACAGAGTTTGTTATTTTTTTAATCTTATTTTTTATGTGTATAGGTGTTTTGCTTGCGTGTATGTCTGTGCACCATCTGCATGCAGTACCCGTGGAGGCCAAAAGAGTGTCAGATCCCCTGGAACTGAGGTTACAGATGGTTGTTAGCTGCCATATGAGCAGTAGGAATTGAACCTGGGTTTTCTGCAAGAGCAACCAGTGCTCTTAACTGCTGAGCCATCTTTCCAGGCCCTTTTATTGTTTTCAGTTGTCTGCTTGTCTGGGGGTATGTACACATGAGTGCAGGAGCCGGCAGGGCCAGAGAGTTGGGATCCCACTGGTCTCCTGACACTGGAATTACAGGTAGTCATAAGTCGCTTGATGGATGCTAAGAACCAAACTCAGGTTCTCTTCAGGACCAGTAGATGCTGTTAACTGGGCCACCTCTCCAGCCCCCAGAGTTATTAAGACGTACAGTTTGGGGCTTAGAGAGGTGACTCACAAGTGAAGAGCACTTCCTGCTCTTCCAGAGGACTGAGTTCAGCTTCCAACCCACATCAGATGGCTCACAACTGCCTCTAACTCCAACTTCAGGGGACTCAGGGGCATCTAAATAGTGATGTATACACAAACATATACATTTTTAAAACCTGAATCTTAGAAAGGCCGTTTTAAAGAAGTACAGTTTAATCATTCAGAAGAGCATGTGCTATTAAATTTGTTATAATCATGTACTAGTTGTAAAAACATTACAGAGCGTTTTCCTCCCTGTTATCAGATAGAGTAATACTCGTCCAATGAAAGCTATCACTATCCCTTGACTCATATGTCACAGATACTTTCTTTATTTATTTATTTATTACAGATTTGGCAGCAGTATTTTTCAGCAAAAGATACGGTCTACGCAGTTATTCCTGTAAGTAATTTGGAGGGGAAGTGGAAGCATTACAGCATGAAGGTCAGCGCTCTAGCCCTCTCGGGCAGTTGCCTGGACTTTTCCTATGTTTATGACATCTTGAGAACTTACACTTTACAGCTCTAAGAGTTTTTATTATGCCCTGAGCACCAGAGATTGGATGCTCCGTGTGGTGTATTTATGACCTTTGCTTTCCCTCCTGGTTCAGAAATATTTCTGAGTCTCTGACCAGAGAGGCTAGTGTAAGTTCATGTTTCTGAGTCTCTGACCAGGGAGGCTAGTGTAAGTTCATGTTTCTGAGTGGTTTCCAGATGCATTTTACTTCCTTTTCATTTTCCAACCAAACTACTGGGATTTAAGACACTGCCTCCAGCATTCTTGTCTGTAAATGGCAGATTCCTGAGCTGACTTAGAGCTCCCTCCTGGCCTTTCTCCACTTTTTCCCATTAGCAAGTGGCATTTTCTTGGTTTTACGTTGTTGAAATTGTCTTAGAGGTGATCACTGGCCATTGCCTTACCCTTAAGATCTATGACTAAGAAAGGATACAGTTGTCTTCTCCAGTTAAAATTAAATCTTACTCTACACCAGGTGTGGTGGTGCCTACCTTTAATCCCAGTGCTTGAGAGATAGGAGCAGAGGCAGATAGATAGGTCTCTGTGAGTTTGAGGCTAGCCTTAAAGTACACTGAAGAACAGGTATATTTTCAACTTGCATATGTGTAAGATTAAGGAGGAAAATGCATACAGAGGGAAAGCCAGACCTTTTTGTTTATGAAGAAATCCCTATTCTTTGTTTTTTAGCCTCCTACGCATATATACTCTTGCCTTCATGAACTCCATAATCTAAAGTCTGTACTTGTCATTATGTTTTAGATCATTCATTCCAACTTATTGTTTGAACAGGCTTTCTCAAGTTTCTCTTGGATTCAGCTGATTCCTTGGAGACTTTGAAGCATGAAGTACTTCATCTTCACACAGAATTTGTAGCAATGAGCAGCAAAGCATGCATCTGGCTTTTCCTGCCTTTTGTCATAAGGATGATTTGTAAATGATAGAACTTAAAAGTCTCTTTCAGCCATAATAGAGCTCTAGAATTCAGTCTTGGAAGACTCAGTTGATCGTGACTTTTCATGCTTTCCTATTTGTGAGTTAATTTTATTCTTTTCTATTTTGCAGAAAGAGAAGTTTGATTTGATCTGGAACCGGGCTCAGTCCTGCCCAACAGTAAGTCTGTGGTAACCATGTAGAATTGTTTATAAATGCTACCAAATAGTTTCAAACCAGTCCTGCTCATGATATAATGCTCTATTAACAAAGGTCCTCACATGTCATTTGTCTGATAAGTGATATTTTCATCCTTATAAATGGCGTTTTAGCTCTCTACCACAGTAGGCCTTTCTGATTTGGATCTTAGTCTATCAGTGTACGTTCATAGGAAAAGGCACCTAAGAGCCCAGTGTGGTAATGCACACTTTTAATTCCATTCAACTCGGTCTACATAGCAAATTCCAGGCCTGCCAGGGATACATAGAGAGACCCTGCCTCAATAAATGAATGAATAAGCCAGGCAAGGGTGGCGCACACCTTTAATCCCAGCACTCGAGAGGCAGAGGCAAGCGGATCTCTGTGAGTTCGAGGCCAGCCTGGTCTACAGAATGAGATCCAGGACAGGCAGCAAAGCTACAGGAAAACCTTATCTCAAAAAACAAAACAACAAAAATGAATGAATGATACTAGAAGGTGCCTAAGACCTTAATCTTTGCTGCCTCCTTCAGGTTCCTGTATTAGAATTCTTCTTTATAGTTTTGCCTATGCTATTCTGATACTATGTGCCAAAACCAAATGATTATTTTGTTGTTGAAATAGTGAAACACCATAAGGCTCCAGGGAAAGGGAATGGATAGCTGATGTGACAGCCAACTTGTGAGCAATGGTTGCTAGGGTTTTTCCCAAACATTGCTTGCAGAAAATAAAAAATACCTAAGTAAACTGGAGATATATATCATTTTTGTATGTTGGACAGCAATATCGCTTAATGTCAGCCCTCCTCAAATTTCATCTCTGATGTTTTCCTTCTTAGATAAGTTTGAGAAATGTATATGAAAATACATTGAAATGTTGAAAATGTATATGTTTGTTATACTATCACATAATTAATTTCATAATTTGAAAAATGTTTTTTTAAAGCCAAGCATTATGGTATGGGGATATAAGTCAGTTGGTATGTTGCTTCACCTAACATGTATAGACTCCCACATTCAATCCCCAACGCCTATAGACTGGGTGTGGTAGCACATGCTTAATCCAAGTACTTGAGAGATAGAGGCAGGAGAATTAGGAATCAGGTCTTTCTTGGCTGTATGGAAGTTTGAGGCCAACCTGGGATATTTGAAACATTGTCTTTTACCACAAAAAAAAAAAAAAGGAAGGAGGAGGCAGAGAAAAGAAGGAAGGAAGGAGGAGGAGAAGGGAGAAAGGAAGAAAAATTTAAAAGCCAGACATTGAAGAAATAGAGTGGTACAAGTGATTAAACATTGAAAATGACTTCATTTGTCCATCTATCTGCTTGTTTTTCTGTTTCCCACAGTTCCTTTGTGCACTACCAAGAAGAGATGGTTATGAGTTCTTCGTTGGACAGTGGACGGGTACTGAACTCCACTTCACTGCTCTTATAAATATTCAGGTAGGTCATGTATGCCCTACACAACACAGGGGGCACTAGAAGCCTTCCTGGGGCTGGGGTCCAGTGTCTTCTGACTTCAGCAGTACTTGCTATGCACTGATGAGCTGTCATATGTTGACAACTTAGGTTAGTTTTCTAGGCCTCACTTAATACCAGAAATTTGAAGTCCGTATACTTTTCTCCTGCTTCACTGTTGTCTTCTTTTGTCTTCTCCCCTTTTCTGTTTAAATGAAAAAAGGAAGGTTTTAGCTTTAACATAGTAAAATTACATATAACAGCAAGTATCAAGCAAGAATTATAGTTACAATATTTATTTCTACTTTATCTTTTATCATAACTAAGAAAAACTATAACTATCAATTCTTCAACTTCATCAAAGACGGCAGAAGGATATAATATTATCTAAGTAAACAGGACATGCATTGTAAGCAACTTCCAAAACTCTAGAAATGAGAGAGACATCTCGCTGCCTGAACAGTCACCCAAAATTCTTCTGTACTATTGGGGCATCCATCTTCAGTCTACAGGCCCATAGTATCCAGTAGACTTTTCCATGAAGCAGGAAATTTCAAAGACAGGTCTGCCTATATTGGCAGTTTGTCAGTCATATTTTTCTGTGTTCTGCAGAATGTCTAGCAGACTCTTTCATGAAGCAGGAATCCTGAAGGATGGCCTCACCTTTAGGCAAGTTCAGCAGTCATTTCTCTGCAGGTCCTGCATGTCCAGTTCATAAAGCAGTCCAGGAAACAGCAGTTTCTTGCCTAAATGGCTAACCAACTCCATAAGGAGCCTCTTCGATGTCCATCTTCTTCTTGATGTAGATTGGTGTTTCCAGGAGCAGATGTGTCTCATTGTAATGAAAAGTCCTAAATTCTTAAACATTTTAAATGCCATATTCTGTAGTCTTTGAAAGGTTTGAAGAATGCCTATCTATCTGAAATACATCTCTTGTACATCTAGAAAATCTAACTAGCATGAGTACAAGCTTGACTATTATAGATGACTATCTATTAACCTCTATTTCTTAATTATACATTACATTTTTAAATGAGCTGTACAAACACAATACCTTTTTTTTTTAAAGATTTATTTATTTAGTATGTATACAACATTCCTTCCATGTATGCTTGCATGCTAGAAGAGGGCGCCAGATCTCATTATAGATGACTGTGAGCCACCATGTGGTTGCTGGGAATTGAACTCAGGACCTCTGGAAGAACAGTCAGTGCTCTTAACCTCTGAGCCATCTCTCCAGCCCCCCACAATACCTTTTTAAATGAGCTGTATAATCACAATACCTTAATCAAGAGCAGAAATTATATATATATATATACACATATATACATATATATACACAGTATAACAAAATTGACCTTAAATTTGTATCAGTAAACCAAGATCCATACCAATGCAAATCTTTATTGCATATTAAACATATAGCAAATATTGTTGAAATATTTATAAATACTATTTGGGATTTGGGTGTAGTTCTCTAGACTACTTCCTGCTGATTGGGGTGCTGTTAATCAGGTCTTTCATGGTATATCCTGTGTGCTAGGTACATCTCAGTTAGCAGTTGGGCAAAGTAATTTTTGGGGGGTGTTCATGGAAACCTTTCAGGGGGTATTGGTCTATCAAATCATATTAGTCTGGAAGCAATCCACAGGTTCTTATCTGTGGAAACAAAAGAAGAACCTGTTTTCCAAAGCAACATATCCTTAGACCGAAATTTTGAAGACAAGATACCTTTAAAGTATATATGTTGATTACTTAGCTTCTTCACAGTCAAAAAATTCAAAGAAAACACAATAATATACATAATCCAGACTCTCTGTGTATCTTTATGTGGCTTATTTGTTTCAAATATATTACTTTTTAATATTTATTATCTTTACTCCTTTAATCTATGATTGTCTGTGCTCTGTCTCTTTAAAGACTTTGCCTTTTTTTAAAAAACCACTTACTTCTTTTTATAACTGTCTATATGCTTTTTCTTTTCTCTCCCAAGCCTATCTACATCCAATATTTTGACAATTTAGAACTCTTTTCCATCTGAATTTGTCTTTATTGTCCTTATTGTATATTTATAATTATTTTCTGACCAGGACTGCTTCTTAAAATGATAAGTGCTTCTTAAAAATCTAGGCAGTGTCACTGCCTGCTTGCCCCGCCCAGTCCAGCTTGGCGGATCTGTTTGCTGCCTCTGAGAGCCATGCTTACAGCCCCATTTTTAAGCACATAGCCAGTCTTTGTTGCCATTAAGCAAGTTGTAGCACTCTGTTCACAAACCCCATTTAAATGTTTCATAGTCGGACCTCCAGAAAGAGTCAGAGTTCGCACTGGCAGCACAGCCTAGAAAGCCGACATTTCAAAACGATATTGCTTTTTTTCTTCTATCGCTGAGTCAGGAAAATCTCTCTTAAAGGAGCTGTGGCATGCCATCAGCAAAATGCTGGCTACCAAGAAGCAATGCTTAACTCTGTTCTTTTGTGTCTAAAATTACTTTTTAAGCTTTCTCAGGTTTTATGTGGATTTAGTCAGCCACGTTGGGTACCAATTTGTAGGAGGAGGCCACCTGTTTGTTTCCCAGCTGCTTGGCAGCTCAGACCCGAAATAATCACACAGAAACTGTATTAATTAAATCACTGCTTGGCCCATTAGCTTCTCATTGGCTAACTCTTAGTTATGATAAAAGATCAAGTAGATATAGATATTGTAACTAATTCTTGCTTGATACCTGTCTTGTTATATATAATTTTTCTATGTTAAAGTTAAAAACCTTCCTTTTTATTTAAACAGAAAAGGGGAGGTGTTGTGGGACTCCCCTCTGTATGCTGTGAATACCATCGGTGAATAAAGAAACTACTTTGGCCTGTTGATAGGGTAGAACTTAGGTAGGTGGGGGAAACTAAACTGAATGTTGAGAGAAAGAAGGCAGAGTCAGAGAGAAGCCATGTAGCACTGCCAGAGACAGACGCCAGGCAGAACCTTGCTGGTAGGCCACGAACCTTGTGGTAAATATATAAAATACTAGAAATGGGTTAATTAAGATGCAAGAGTTAGTCAATGAGAAGCTAGAGCTAATGGGCCAAGCAGTGATTTAATTAATACAGTTTCTGTGTGGTTATTTTGGGGCTGAGAGCAGGGAACAAACTAGCAACCTCTTGCAACAAATATGGGTATTTTTTACTTGTCATTTAATATCCTCAAATGAATTGGTTACTGTTATTATTTCTATTTATAAAGAAGAGAATGAACTTAGGGAAGTTAATAAGCTACATTGAGTCCAGGTTGACTGACTCCAAAGTCTATAAACTTACATATTTACCATTGTCTTGAAAACTCTGCTGGATCCTGTAGATCTATGAGAAAAGGAAGGAAGGAAGGAAGGAAGGAAGGAAGGAAGGAAGGAAGGAAGGAAGGAAGGAAGGAAGGAAGGAAGGAAGTTATTTCATGGAGAAGTATATAAAAGAGAAAGCCAAATACAGAGTAGATGTTAACTCTAAAATGGGACTGGAAAGGGATACAGAAGGATCCTCGAATTGTATCTCTGTCTTTGTTTGCTTTCTGTTGCTGAGATAAAATATCATTTCAGAAGCAACTATGGAAGAGAGGGTTTATTTGAACTTACAGTTCCAGAGGGAGACTCCACAGTGGATGGGGAGGCTGATAGCAAGTGGCCAGAGCCAAAAGCTCAGAGATCACTCTTCATCCATAGACATAGAGCACAGAGCAAACTGGAAATAGGTGAAGCTATAAACTCTCACAGCGTCCCTCTGCCCACAAGATGTTCTTCCTCCAGCAAGGCTCCACCTCCTAAAGGTTCCATAACTTTCCCCAAATAGTGCCACCAACTGGAAAGCAAGTATCCACCAACTGGAAAGCAAGTGTTCAAATACCTGAGCCTTGAGGGGACATTTTTATTTAAACTACAAGTCTCTAATGCTTTCTTTCTTACATGGATTGAGAAGTGTATGCCTGTCTGTGATATTATCATATGTATTTCATAATAAACTGTTAGTATATTATATAGTATACTACAGTATATTGTATATTAGCATATTGTATCCTAATATCTTGTGGGCAGCATTATCAGTATATTAGAAGTATGTATGAGGAAACCAAGAGGATGAACTGTTAAGATTGCCTTAGCAATAGTTAGGTACAATAATTAAAGGATGCTTGCTGAAGCTTTAGAGATGAAGCCCTGGGAGCTGTTTTCTGTCATCTACATGAAGGAGTTGGCTTTAAATTCAGGTTCTCTTCCTAGACGAGACTTGAAATCTGGTGAAATCACTGATCATTCTTCATGAAGTTATACAATTCCTATTTTCTTCTCCATCCTGCCACAACCAGATAATATTTTGAAGCCACACAGCAGAAATCTGGCTCTTACACAGACTCTACAGTGCTTTGCTATAGTGTAAAAGAGCTCAGTTTTCAGAGCCACCACAGGGAGTAGATGAAATGCACTAGTCCATAGAAGTGGCAATTACACAGGCACATCGCTTTCTTTAGAACTTGACTTGGTAGCTGCCTGTACCATTTTGTTTTTAAATGTATGACCACAATGAAGGATTCACTGCCTTCGTAAACATTCTCTGGGAAAAAAGCCAGATCTTTTCCAATTGAAGACACAAATAACACCGTGAAAACTGTCAGTTCACCATGCCTTTGCAGGCCTGACCCTGCCCATACATACCAGTCCTCTAACTCACTAGCTACCCAGAGGGCTATTAAGAGCTAGAATTTCCTCCAGACTCTGTTGCTTTGAAATTGCAGTTTGTTGTGGTGGTACCTTATTGAGCTTTGATAAGTGTTTCTCCGTGCAGACCCGAGGGGATGCAGCAGCCAGCCAGCTGATTTTATATCACTATCCTGAACTTAAGGAAGAAAAGGGCATAGTGCTGATGACAGCTGAAATGGATTCCACATTTCTGGTAAGAATCTACATTTGTCTCTTTGGGTTTACCTCGTAGTTCTGCGGGTGCTAACTCTTGTAAATGCCTCAGGTCTAGATTAGGGAAAGATACCTTTGTGTATTTTGTTTCTCATGGTTGCAAATAATTTTGTCTTGTCTGTATACATTTAAGTTGAAGTACAGTTAGCTACAGATAAATGTATGGTTTCCTTTGTCGGTGCTAGTTTGTTTCATTTTACTTTTTAAGTGTGTGTGTGTGTGTGTGTGTGTGTGTGTGAGCGCGCGCGTGTATGTGTGCACACACATACATTGTGGGTAAGGGGTAAATGTCGAGTGCATGTATGAATGTATGAAAGTCAAAAAATAATTTCTGGAAGCCCATTTTCTCCTTCCACCTTCTAGGTTCCAGGGGTCAAACTCAGGTCATCAAACTTGTAGCACGCACCTTAGCCCACTGAGCTACCTCACTGGCCTTGGAAATAGGTTATTTTATTTTATTTGAGACAGGGACTCACTATGTAGCCCTGGCTATCCTGGATCTCACTAAGCAGATGAGGCTGGCCTCAGACTCACAGAGACCTGCCTGCCTCTACCTGCTGAGTGCTGGCCTAGAGGCTGATGATGAAAATAGTTTCACATCCTCATTTGATCACAGATTTTTTCTGCATTAAATTCTTTTGAAGCTAAATTTTCATTTAAATTGATCTGAGGTCATTTATAGTCATTATTCTCATGTAATAGAGAATATTATGTATTTTATTAAGGAAGGATGAATGTGTTTGATTGTGAGACATAATATAGTTACATATTATCTTCACCTATGCCTTTTTTAAATCCAGTAATGCCAAAACCAAGACACATCTGGCCCTGGAGATTTCAAACAAGATTATGGACATATAGGTGACTTCTAAAATGTAAGATGAGTTCAAAAGTACTAGTTGTACTAGAGTAATAGTTGTGTCTTTTTCTTCCTCTCCCCTGTCCATAGGAACATTCACCATTGGATTTCCTTCTCTCCTTTTCCATTCCCAGTTGTGTTGCTAGGGAGACCATCAACTAATGATGCCCATTGTGTTTCTCTATGAGTCCGGGTACCAGAGACAGTTTTATGTCTATCTAATGCTTGCTTGTTTCCATTTCATTTGTCTGACAGAGATTGTTTAGAATGCCTTCAGAAGACTGGGCATTTCAAAGCCTCTTCCTCCATTCCAACACCCACTTGTATTTCTTCTTCATCTTTACCAGATATATAGCAAGAAAGGGATGATTTCAGCCAGCTACTGTCTCACAGTAACAGTAGACTCCAGACCTGGAGCACAGTGGGGTCTCTGTCTCCCTGACTGTTATTCCTAAACTACTCAGTTTTATTTCCCCCATTTTTCCTTCCTCCTAAACTGTTTTTGTATCACAGTCAGCTGGAAGTCACTGATCCAGAATCTTATTTATAAATATGTATTTACCGTTAATTGAGATAAGACTGCAGAAAAAAATAGTTTTGAGAAGACCTCAGTTTTAGACTGTTAAATCTGAGATGCCTATTAGTTATCTATGTAGTGTGTACAGTTAGATACCTGAGCCTGGTGTTTGGAAAAGTGACCCAGGTCTAGTATGTGGGTTGTTTTTAAAACTGTGGATTGAATGAAATACCAAGAAAATAAATGAGGATGTAAAAGAGAAAAGATATAAGAACTAAGTCCTTGACAGATGAAGAAATATCAGAAAATTAAAAAAAAACAGTTGTAATATGAGTGAGATTAAGATGGTAGACCGCCTGGAAATAAAGATAAAGTGTTGTAAAAGCAAAAGGGAGTGTCTAGTTGGTCACTCTAACCTGCTTATAGGGCAAATGAAATAAAAACTGAAAGTGTACTAGATTTTATAGACATGAAACTATTTGGTGACCTTTATAAGAACAGTTTCAGGGGAATGGTATCACTATAAATAAACATAATTAAATTTAAGAATGATGGGAAGAAAAATTAGGAAGGATATACATTAATGCTTTCAGGGGAAAGAAAGAATAGTGTTGGATGGAGGAAAGAAGTGGGAACAAGAATGTCTTTTATTTTAAATATCGAATAAATATATGGAAAATATGGTAGGGAAAAATATTAGTCATATAGAAAAAGGAGTAATATTCTGGATAGACAAGTCTGGAAATGAGTGTTTAATCTTTGCCTAGAGTATATTAACTAAGAGAAGTCAGGATATGAGGGCGTGGATGTGGAAGGTTAGATGAATGGTTAGTGGCAGCTTGTGGAAGTTCTTGCCAGATTATTATATATATAGAGAGAGAGAAAGAAAGAAAGGCCTTCAGCTTAGAGTAAACATGTAAGAACAGAGTTAGATATTTGAGTCAAAAAGAGATAGTATGCCGGCCATGGTGATACAAACCTTTAATCCCAGCACTTAGGAGGCAGAGGCAGGTGGATCTGAATATCAAGATCCAGGACAACCAAGAACTACATAAAGAATCCCTGTCTCAAGTCAAAAAGAAAAGGGAAGTTTTATTTACATATTACTTAAGATTGCTTTAGTTCTGCAACAGAGTTGAGTAGTTTGAACTTATGGCCCCCAGAGCCTAAAATGTTTACTGTTTACAGAAAGTGTTTATAAACCACAGTCTAGGGAATGGAAAAGAGAATTTGTGTAAATACATACACGGAGAGGATGTCAGATTTGACTGGCTCAGCCATGTGGTGTAATGATGTAATTGAGGGGCAAAGAAGCTTAGAATGAATACAAAAAGAAGCTTGCTTACACTTGTTGACCGGAGAGTAAGGCTGGATAAGGGAGAAGTGAGAAGACAGATACACTAAGAACTGTGGACTTCAGCTGCAGGCTGTTAAGAGTTTGCAGTGAACTAGGAAGGTAAAAAATAATAGACAAAGTGCAAGTGTTTCAGACTGAGATTTGGGGAAGATATCGTTATTTATGGCAAAGAAACAGAAATAGGACTTACAGACTGTTCTATATTTTTTGGTCTTCAGCAAAACATGGTGTCTGACCATGTTTCAGTGAATTCTAGAGGTCAGAGGAAAGAAACTTTTTCTTGGTTCTGTTTCTATCACTTCGCTCTGGTAGGTTCAAACTGGTGCAATTTTAGCATCATTAAGGTTTTGGAGGATGGGATTTTTGTTTTTTAGCCTTTTTTTCTGGATTTATAACATTTGACAACATATCAGACAATATTCATTTACCTTGTACAAACCACATTGACTGTGAGATCCCTCTGCACTTGGCTCAGCAGATAAAGCACCCATCACCAACCCTAATGACCTGAGTTCAGTCTCCCAGGACCCACATGGTCGAAGAAAAGAACTAACTCTTGGAACTTGTTCCTGACCTTCAATGGATAAACCATGGCATACCTGCTAATATATACACATAATAAAATGCAATTTTCAAAGATTTACCTTATTATTTTTAATTATGTGTATATATGTAGGTCTGAGTGTGAGTATGTGCATGTGAGTGCAAGTGCCCTCATTGGATATCCTTAGAGCTAGAGTCATCCACTCAACATGGGTACTGGAAATTGAACTCAAGTTCTCTGCCGAAGTAATACATGCTCTTAGCCATCAAGCCACCTCTCCAGCCCCAATTTAAAAAATAAAGGTTTAACTGAATGCTTTATAGGAAGAAGTACAACATACAGAGACAAGAAGCTCAGCCTCTGGTATTTATAAATTTATCTGCATCGTTGTTATGTGAATCCACGAGAGTTCATTAAAGGTCTCAATAATAGCATTATCCCATAGCACATCATTCTACAGCTAGGCATAGCATACTTTTCTTCTTCCAGTGCTAAGAGTTGAACTTAGACCTTGCACTGAGCTAAGTCCAGGTTCACATAGCATACTTTAGGCAGTCATTTTTCAAGTGATTTTTTTTTCAAGTTTGAGTAATAATAGATAAATATTTCTGGCCAGCTAGAACTATAGAATATGTAGAAAACAGTAGTTATTTCAGTTCATTGTTTTCCTTTCATTTTATTTACTGTTATTGTACGTGTATACATGTGTACGATAGAGGTTACAACCACATCACACATGTGTGGAGATCAGAGGGCAGCTCTTATTATTGCACATGTATAAACATGTATGATGGAGAGAGGTTACAATTACACCACATGTGTAGAGATCAGAGGGCAGCTCCTATTATTGCATGTGTATATACATGCATGATAGAGAGAGGTTACAACTACACCACATGTGTGGAGATCAGCTTATCTGGGTGATCCTGGCTGAATCTAATGAGGTTGCTGTCAGGATGTTGGTAGGAATGCAGTCATCTGAAGATTGACTGGGCTTAAGGATCCATTTTTTTCCTGAACACATTGGCTTTTCTGCAGGCCTACTTGAATGTCTTCTTGATAACTTTCCCCAGAACAAGTGATTCAAGACATATTCTTTAATGATCCAGTTGTTAGACGCAACTCGTTAAGTACAGCCTCACACTCAGAATGGAGATTGGACTCTCCAAAAGAGGTATATGTACCAAAGTGATACATACACAAGTATGTGTATGACTCTGTAGCTCAAGTTCATTGGTGAAAAAGAATGGTGGCCATACGAGCCTTATGAACTCAAAGCCCCAGGTGTTCCCCAGTATTATTGCTGGTCCCTGTACCACACCTCTCAAAATGTGGACATTTTATAACCATCACATCTGGCTTTGATACTGTGTTCCTGACTGGGGTACCATCAATAATAGGTTTTATTCAAGGGTATCTAATTAGTCAGAAACTTAGTACTTGCAAACTGATTCTTAGAGCTGGGTAGCTTTTTACCCTCTTCCTCAGATGAATGTAATGTCTATTTAGGAACTAAATAAAAAGAGAAGCTGTGAACATATGAACTAACTTACCTAGCAAACATCATGTCACTATGTATAGGAACATACGAACAAGCCTTGATGTCTGTATCTTTGAGGAATTTAAATTAGAGAGTACAGACCAAAAGTGACAAATAAGAGAAAGCGATGACAGGTGTACAAGGTGCCTTGCTTACATGAGGAAGGAACGTCTAGCCAAGACTTGAGAAGTCAGGGAGTCAGAGAAGCTAAGAACAGTGTCTCCACCACGAACTCAGGCACAGAGCTTTCTTTGGTCCTCTGCGGAAAGGTGCCTCACTCCTCTCATTGCCTTGCAGAATGTTGCTGAGGCGCAGTGCATCGCCAATCAGGTTCAACTCTTCTATGCCACTGATCGGAAGGAGATTTTTGGGCTAGTAGAAACCTTTAACTTCAGACCAAATGAGTTCAAATATATGTCTGTCATCGCCGAATTGGAGCAAAGTGGACTTGGAGCAGAACTGAAATGTGCCCAGAATCAGGATAAGACTTAAGAGATATCTGGATTGACCCTTCGCAGAGTTTACTCAGTCCCGGATAGCCTAAAGTCCACCCAAACCCTTGACCTCCAGAGTTCAACGCAAAAAGCAGTCTGTACAGAGTTACCATGTATGCTACTACAAGAAGTGATTGTGGGCATGAGCCCTAATACTTGATACTCAGAACGAAGGTATACAAATACTTTGATAATTACCTCTCACTCTAAGGGTTCCTTTTTTGTGTTTCTGGGCATTTAAACAAGAAATATTCAGGGATCTGCAAGACTATTGACTGGGATTTATTCAGTGTAACAGTGAAGTTGCATTCTGGCCATTTTGACTTCATAGCTCCCAGTTCTGTCTTCCTAAACCTGTAGCAATAATCTTGAGGGTCTTAGAGATGTTGGCTTTGTGTATTCTTTCCCTGCACCAGTGAACAGCCCAAGAATCCTGGCCAGATTCAACACAACTTGCTATTCTCCTCAAAGTAAAGACTTCTAGATGCCCCTCCAGAGTTGCCTTCAGTGCAACTAAGCGATTGCAGGTACAAGTACCTGAAATAATAAACAAATACATTGCCTGCACACTGTTAAACCATCGCTTTTGGCCCTGCTCCCTCAACTCTGCCTGTGAGAAGCTAACGAATCAATTCAGTGTAAATAAAATCTTTTTATAAGATCATCCCAGATTTGCATGATTTTAAAATGAAAATGTGGGTAGAAGCAAATGTTTCTAGACTGAGTGTGGGGAATGTAGCTGTAAAGTCTGGTTTTCAGTCTTTGCTACACAAAATAGTGGAAACTCAGCTGTGCGCCGTTGGTGGCATCAGAGCTGTGGGTTAATTTTATCAGAACTCTTCTTGGGGCTCAGTGATTTCTTGAAATGTCACAAATAAGCAAGTTATTCTCCACCAGAAGGACATGTATCACTCTAGCTCCAGGTTCATTGGTGAAAAAGAATGGTGGGTCCACACCAGCCTTATGAACTCAAAGCCTCAGGTGTCTCCCAGTGTTATTGCCAGTCCCTGTCCCACACCTCTCATCTAATGTGCTCCACCTTAATCTGCCACTCCAGTCTGATGTTAGATGCCACCAAGCATGGTGAATAGAAAGTTAAGTAGTATTTTCAGTTTATGTCTATATATATTTTCTTCATTACAGATATTTTTAGAGTGGGCTTCTCAAAGCTTTTTAAGTAGGTATGGTGGTTTGAATAAGAATGGCTCCCATAGGCTCATATATTTGCAGGCTTAGTCACCAAGGAGCAGAACCATTTGAAAGGATTAGAAAGATTAAGGGGTGTGGCCTTGGAGGCAGTGGGGGAGGGGCTTTGAGGTTTTAAAAGCCTGTGCATGCAGGTCAGGATGTAGCTCTCGGCTACTTCTGCAGTATCACTCCTGCCTGCTGCCATGCTCTCTGCAGTGATGGCAATGGACTGAGCCTCTGAAACTGTAAGCCAGCCCCAGTTAAATGCTTTCTTTTATGAAATTTGCCTTGTCATGGTGTCTCTTCACAACAGTAGAATAGTAGCTAAGACAGTAGGGTTGACCATCCCAATATTTTCTGGGTGGAGAAACATAGTGTTTCTTTAACCTGGAGACGCTGTGCTGTGCTTTCAGTTTCTCTAAAGGTTGAGTGTTTTCTGATGCAGCTTCTAGACCCACCATGGTTCCAATGGTCTGCATTTTAAGAACTTGAGTGCTGTCAACTCTGCAGTTTTCCTTAAATGCCTTCCACGCTTCTGGGTGATATAAGTCTCGAGACTCAGCCTTGGGTGGGGCTGCTCTTGTGGGTATCCAGCTTTGTTTGTTTTTCTCTCCAGATAGACCCAGTTCTTAGTCATAGAACATCTTCATGACACCACTACTAGCAGATTAAAAAAAAAATGATGATGATGATGAAAAAAGCAAAACTAGCTGTTCATGTCATACTCCTCCCAGCTTTAACCTCAGCTCCATCGTGCCAAAGAAGGATGGTGTATCCATGGGTAATTATATCAGATACAGTCGGATAAGGTGCCATCTGACTGTTGTTAATATTTATTTTACCAAAGAGATCTAGCAAATAAATGAAAACCATAGCAGTTAGTCTGTAAATGTGTTCCCTGATTCCAGCATGCTATTTCTCAGGTGGACTTTGGAGCTCATTGAATTTGGTTCTTATAGCAGCGTTACTTTTCTTAGCTTGTTAATGATAAATTACTTAAACTCTAATTCTTACCTTTCTTCTGAACATGGGGATGATATCTACCTCGTTGGATTATTTTGAAACTTCAGTAAGCTTCTATATACACTACAATAGAATTCAGTGCATGCTGGATCTCTTCTTTTTCTTTACTTCTTCATTAAAGACCAACACAGGGGCTAGGAATAGCTCAGTGGTGGAACTATGTTCCTAGCATGCATCAGGCCTTGCGTTTGGTTCCCACCGCCAGACAGGAAGAAAGTTAAGTCAACATTTCAAATGCAGAGATTACAAAAAATTTTATCTCACTGGTTCTCAACTTGAGATGCAGTAGAATCACTTAAGAGCACTTTAAGATGCAGTTCCTGGGTCCCTACGCTGGCTGAATGCAGAAAGCCCTGAGAACCTACATTTTAGTATGTATGTATTCTAGGTAATTCTGATATGGGTAATTTAGTGAGCTTTTGTGAGCCATTGCCTTGTCTCTTATGAAAATGTCCACTAGATGGGTCTTTTCTCACCTACAGACATTCACAAAGGATTTAGATTCCTCTGTTCTCTGTCTTTTTAGTAGTCCCTTTGTGTACCCTAGTTACATTGCATTATATTTATTTTTGTGTGTTTACCCCACTAGACTGTGAGCTCCCTGAGGGCCAGGATTTATCTTTATTCTCAGTGCCAAGGACATGACGTGAACCACAAAAGAAACTCAACTGTTGAACAAATAAACGATACATATTTTAGCCATAAACTCTTATTGATGTATGTGTTTCTCTATTTGAATCTTGTAACGTTGTGGTACCCCACAGGCGCCTGTGTTTGAACACTTGGTCCATGGCTGGTGGCAATACTTTGGGAGCTGGCAAAGGTAAGTCAGCAAGCAAGGCCTTAAACATTATGCCAGCTTTTAGTTCAAGATTACTCTTGTTTCCTGATCCATGGCTTCAGTGTGAACAAGCCTCAGCTACCACCATCCAGCTGCTGTGAACTCTGCCAGGCCACCTGCTGAAAGCACAAACCCAAGTAAATCCTTATTTTAAGCTGTCTGTCAGGTGTGCGGTCACAGAGACACAAGTAACTAGTGATACACTTGAACGTAAGACTATATATCTATCTATCCGTCATCTCTAGCTCTCACTCTCCCACCTGCCCTCCCCAGGTCTTCTTTTATTATTATTTAAATTTTTTACGCCAGGCAGTGGTGGCGCATGCCTTTAATTCCAGGACTCAGGAGGCAGAGACAGGTAGATCTCTTGAGTTCAGGGCCTGCTTGATCTACAGAGTGAGTTCTAGGAAACCAGGGTGGTTACACAAAGAAAAACCCTGTCTCAAAAAATAAAAGTATATGTATGGGTATTTTGCTGGTGTATATGTTCGCGTACCATACATGTCTGGTACCTGTGAAGGCCAGAAAAGGATGTCGGATCCCCTGGAACTGGAGTTCTAGGTGGTTATGAACCACCGTGTGGATGCTAGGAATGAAGCCCAGGTCCTTTAGAAGAGAGGCCAGAACTGAGCCATCTCTCCAGCCTCCATCTCCCAATGCCTCTCAGACGTTTTAAGACAAGATCAATTATGTGAGCTATAATATCATATGGCTAAAGCTAGTTCTGATCTGCCTGCCTCCACCTCCTAAGTGCTGGAATTACAGGCATGCACCAGTATCCCTGACTTCTCTCTCTTTTTAGTGCTAGGAATTAAACCTTCACACATGCTAAGCAAACAGTGAGTTATAGCCCCAGCTGTAGCAAATCAGCAACTGCCCACAGAGCACCTACTGCTGGGTTCGGTGCTGCACACAGGAGGCTGAGGGAGGATACGACCCCTGCTCTCGGGTTGTGTATCCGCCACCTGTATCTTGCCTCTAATTCTGAGCCTTATCTAGAGCCTGCTTTGCTTTGTTCTCAGAATATTCATACTTCTCTTCCAACTCATTTAGAAGGTAGAACTATTCTATAAAAGAGTGATCTTTTGTTCAGTCTGGGAGAAGAGGCACAGACGCCAACTCCCCCAGGCACTTGATAAAGCAGTTACCCCTACCAAGCACCTGTTTACATACTGAGCACTCGAAGTGAGAATACAGCAGTGGACAGGACCAATAGCACCTCTGCTCTCAGGAGCTTATATTCCCATAACAAAGACAAGTAAACTAGCAAAATTATCTCAACTCTGTTGTTGTTGGTTGTTTACTTTTTGGCTCTTTACTTTTTTGTGGGGCCCTCCACCCAGCTCCCAAAACACACACAGAGTCTTATTCTTACCGATAAATACCCGGCCTTAGCTTGGCTTGTTTTTAACCAGCTTTTCTTAACTTAAATCATCCTGTCTACCTTTTGCCTCTGGGCTTTTACCTTTCTCTATTTCTTTTCCTTCCTTCTTCTGTGTCTGTGTAGCTGGGTGGCTGACCCCTTCTTTCTCGTTCCTTGATCCTTTCTTCCCAGATTTTCCCTATTTATTCTCTCTGCCTGCCAGCCCTACCTATGCTTTCTTTTGCATTGCTATTGACCTTTCAGCTCTTTATTTGACAAATCAGGTATTTTAGACAGGCAGAGTAACACAGTTCCACAGAGTTAAACAAATGCAACATAAAAGAATTTAACACATCTTTGCATCATTAAACAAATGTTCCACAGCTTAAACAAATGTAACATATCATAAAATAATATTCTACAACACGACTCAAATACCAGCAACTGTAAAACGTAATGTAACTGTGGCGTGAAGGCGATGACTTACTAGCCAGGAGAGCCATCTTTGCAGAGGTCGCTGTGGAATATGTGTGTGGGAGAGAGAGTACCAGGTAAAGTGAAGCAGGTATGAAAATTTTGAAGCATAAGCATGCTTGTTTCTGGGCATAGGTTGAGACCCTGCCCTTGAGCATAGTTCAGGCAAGACGCTGGCATGCACAATGAAAACACAAGGTGGTAACCAATGCCATTGCAGAGAATGGCAGGAGGGCTTGCCCCCCCTCTGTCGTGGCAGGAGATACAAAGCTTGCCAGAGCATGGGATCTGCTAAGGTGGTAGTTTATAGCCCTATGGAAAATAACAGGTAAAGATTGCTCAAGCCTCAGAAGGTGTGTTTTATGTGTATGCACGTATGCACATATACTTACAGTACAAAGGAAAGAGTGAGGGAGGAGGTCTTTCCATGCAAAATATAGAAGATCCTATCAGCCCACAACTGGCTTCAGCTTCACAATGTGTACACATTAACAATAGCCACTAGCATTTTCTGGGGCCTCAGCGTATGCCAGACACTACATGAGTTATCGTAATCCCACCTGGAGATCAGGAACCTGCTGAATTGGGAGAGAGATCCACTGCCCACTCTCTTTGTACTCTCCTGCCCTCCCCACCTCCAACTCAGAAGAGAGCAACCTCCAATCACCTCACATCCCAGCCACAGCTGTAAGCTCAGGTCTCCAGAAGGCAGGGGTAGTAGCAGAGCCAGTCCAAAAAACTTGTCTGCCAACTCTCCTGGGGATGAAGGAACAATGTGAGCGTTTTGAAGGATACCCTGATCTAGCCGCGGAGAACCCTTCTGGTGCACTGCCTTATGCTCATGGAGCATTTGGTCCTCTCCGTTCTGCTCGTGTAACAGGATGGGGGCATTTTTATTCCTGTCTGCTAACAGAGAGACTTCAGGCAAAGGGGAGAGGTGACTTAAAGGCACCTGCCTGCATCAGGAGCCATGTCCAGAAAAGAAGTGATTGTCCATGTTCTAGACGTACGGCTTCCCTTTGTCACATCCGTTCACACAGGGTTACTTCGGGCTGTTTGGGCCTGAAGAACTGGGATATAGAGGCCCATCTATCCTTGCAGTCAAAAAGAAAAAGAAAGGAAGAGAGCGAGAACCAGGATATCTGTAAGAAAAAAGGTTCCCAAACAAACATGCCTCCTAGGATCCAATGAGCATCCAAGACAAAGTTCCTTTGGATCATCTCACAGGGGCTTTGGGATCTGGTGCTTCCTGACTCTCATCTCTTGCTGGGCTCCTTAGCTACGGCCATCTTGTTGACAGTTCTCCGTCTTCCTACCTCTGTTCTGGTGTTTTTGACTATTTTTGTCTGATTGAAATGCCTATACCTCTTTCATGAAGTTATTTCCTGTCTTTCAAACCTCCACTAATGCATCTCACCCTTCTTTTCCCAAGTCCTGCTGTCCCCACGTTACCCCTGCATGGGTTATGTGCTCTGCTTCCTCAACATTCCATGCTCAGTCTTTATGATGACGCCCTTTAGCGACAGAATTATATTCCTGTATTCCAGCATGAAATCTTACCAAAAGATTGGAGGTCTTGAGGAGTCTGAATAAATTCCCAGGGGCCACTAAACTCAAACCCTCCGGGATCTATAAGCATCCCCGAGGTCCAGCCCTGGCAAACATGGTGTTTGTGTCCCAGTCTCAGCCAATGGCTGTTTTGCTTACTCTAGAAGCTACATGTAGAAAACAAAGGCAAGGCCCTGCCACGAGAAGCAGCCAAGTCAACTGGACAGTGGTGGCGCACGCCTTTAATCCCAGCACTTGGGAAACAGAGGCAGGTGGATCTCTTGTGAGTTCAAGGCCAGCCTGGTCTACAAGAGCTAGTTCCAGGACAGGCTCCAAAACTACAGAGAAACCCTGTCTCGAAGAAAAAAAAGAAAGAAAGATGATGAGTCAGCTTTTGGAACATTTTAGAGCAGCAGCCTGGCTTGTTTGCGTTCTTATCTTAATATTTAAAGAGCTCTTTAGAGTCTGTCCTTCACACAATTCCAAGAGCTCCTAAGAAATAGGCAACCTGAGAGTCTGGTCCTTACCCTAACTTACCCAGAGAATTAATGTTTATTTAATACTAAGTTTAAAACATTACGACCTTGACTGGCAGTTCACTGTGGCCCCAGATCATTTATGGTGTGACAAGATCACCATCTTACATTCTGATTCCCTCAACCATTTCTGATTGTGATCTCGCCTGATCAGATGGGGGATAGCAGACACGTCTTATTTTTTGCCCTGATATTACATGAAGGAAGAGCAAGTGTGTTTGCTGAGACTTGTTTGGTGTACGATTCCCAGCAGACTCTGGATGTGTTGCTTCCACTGCCAGTTTCCCTTCATTTGATCTTTGCGGCGGTACAATAAAGGTAATACCAAGTTCCCATTTTACAGATGAGAGCTCTGTGGAACCTGCATTGTAAGTTTTGAGTCAGGTCTAAATTAAAACTTCAGCTTTGTCTCTTATTACTTGTCTAACCATACACTCTGAGCCCTTGAGTTCTCATCTATATGTAGCATAATAGTCCTCTCTCCAAAGTTAAGAGATAATAAAACAAGGTGGTGTTGATAGTGCCTAACACTCTAATGAAAGTGCAAAATAGCAGCTGGAAGACGGAGTCTCTGACCTGCTCAAGGTGCACGTCTCCTCCATAGAGGGATGGGACTTCCGGAATGTAAATCTTCTTTTAGAATATAGACCTTCTGTTATAATTATGCTGGCCTGCTTTGTTCACCTGGATATCCTGTCCCTTTAAGAGACAAGCTCTGGGCTGGAGAGCTGTCTCAGCAGTTAAGATCACTGACTGCTCTTCCAGAGGTCCTGAGTTCAATTCCCAGCAAGCACGTGGTGGCTCACAACCACCTATAATGAGATCTGGTGCCTCTCTTTTTCTGTCTCTCTCTCTCTCTCTCTTTCTCTCTCCCCCATACCACCTTACCCTTATGCCCTCCCAATACCCACTAACTAAACTCTACACCCAAGTTTTCTCTGCATGGTGTATCTGTCTGTCTCCTCTGGCCTTGGCCTCTCCCACCCGCAGTGGGACCTGCCAGAGTCACTCTGTTCTGTATTTACCATCTGCCATTTTCAGAAATCCTCTTCCAGGAAGTTTGAAAGGCTTAAGTCCTGATCAGATGAGGAACACATGTTGAGAATTTTAGGAGTCTTGGCTGGACTCTGAAACTGGAGGCTAGGAAGAAAGAAAAGAAAGCAGGTTAAACTCAGGCCAGATCATGCAGGTCGGGGTAATGATTTAGCAGTCACAGTCTTAGGCAAAGACAGCAAGAGGGTAGGGAGTAAGATGCAGAAAGACCTACAGCCAGCAAGCTAACATCTGGATCAGGAGCTAGTTAACACCTGGAATTTGGGGTCAAAGTATATAAGCTTGTGTCACTATTTATACAAGGTTTATCTGAGAATTATTTTTGTTTGCAAAAAAAATATTTATTTTATGTGTAGGTAATGTGCACCCCCCAAAAAGTTGTAGCTTTTAGAGTAACCTGTTTGTGTGTCAAGTTGACAAGGAGTGAAGTATGATAGTTGCTTTTTTGTTTTGTTTTGTTTTGTTTTCTGAACCGGTCTCTCACTATGTACCCCAGGCTGGCCTTGTACTCACAGAGATCCTCCTGCCTTTGCCTTAGTGCTGGGATTAAAGGTGTGTGCCACCACACCTAGTATTTGATGTAGCAATGATATCTTGCTACAAATTAGAATCAGCTGAGAAGCTGCACCTGAAGAATTGTCCTGACTGCCTCCATTAATAGGGGAAGACCACATCAGCTGTGTACGCTGCCTTCCGATAGCAGGCCAGATTTTTAAAGGGGGGCATGGGCAGAAAGAAGAGGCTCTTGTGTGCTTGGCCTGCCCTCTCACTGTCAAATTGATTAGCTCTTTCGCTGCTGCTGCTGCTTCCTTTGCTGAATTCTTCAAGAATCACTATTCCCAGGCTCATCATTAACTAAGATCCATTGGCTTTCCAATACTCCTCCGGGTTCTCTGTACTAGACTGTGGCTGCTAATGTACCCAGCCCCATGGACTGAACAATGCTGGGTTGTTGAAAAGCCACTATGGGACTAGTCCGACTGCTGGGCACCCAACCTCTGGGTCCAAGCAACAGTCAGGTTCTCAGCCTCTATGATGTGGCACTATTAGGAGTTACTTGGGCAGCACAAACTGGATTTGATGGGTTAAGAAAGGGAGGACACAATGCGGAATGAGTAGGAAAGGAGAGGTGGATCTGGAGGAGTTGAGGGAGGGCTTGAATATAATCAAAATATGCAGTACACATTTTTCAAAGAACTAATGAAAAAGAAATAAAACAAAGACTTGCCAATCATCTTCCTTTCCAGAGAGTGAAACACTGTTGCCAGGATGTCTTAAGTGAGGACCTCAGTGTGGCATGAGAGGAAAGCAGAGGCCTTTCCAAACCCATGGGGCCCAGATATTTTCCCTATTTGACTTTGAGAGCCGAGGCACCCCTGGCTCACGATCCCTGGAGTCAAACACTGGATTAGCTGTAGCTCCTGATAATTTGGCCCTGACCCCTGTGGCTGTGAATTCGGTGCTGCCGTTACAGGCTGCAGCTCCCCATCTGTCCAGCATGCATTTGTTCAGGCCCATGGTGAGCAAGCAGAGGGGGATGAAATATGTGGAGCCAGGCAGGCAGCTATGGAAGAAGTCAGTGGATTGATGGGAACTCAGCTTCAGAGCTCATTGGGAAAACTCACACCCCATTGGAGCTGGGATGGATTGGCTGAAATCTCTCATTTTCGATTTGACTCAGAGCAGCAGCCTGCTGTGTTCTCTGGAAGCTCCTACGGAGAGGAAATTGCTCTCAAGGTCAGAGAAGATCTAAATTTCTTTGTGGGTCACTTCAGGCCTTCTTTCCAGAAGTAAACAGTCTGTGTCTAGAAAGCCCTCGGGTGGCCTTCTATAGCCTACTCCATTTTTCTTCTTTCTCTATCTGGCCTCCTTCCTATCTCTCTCTTCTTTTACTCTCAGCTAAATGGCTTTCTCCTTTGGTAGCATTTGTGCATTGTGTGGAATATCGGTCCCAGAAGATTTTATGCTGTCAAAAGAGTAGGGAATCTCAGTGGGGTCAAGGTTCCTGAGGATGGCTAAGATAATTAATTCTGTTAATTGCTTTAACAAGCACCTAGGCACACATGACTGTGCTATCTCCTTCCCCAGGAGAACATTTCTGGAGTGCCTAGCCACTGTTCTAACCCCCTAGTGTGTCATATGAGATATCTCTCTAAGCAATGCATTTGCTAAGTGCTTGGGTGGGAAGGAGCCCAAGTGCAGGCCCTGTGTCTGGGCCTAAGCCTCAGTCCCAGCCGTGCCATTTGGGGCTGCGCTTCTTGGCCAAGTCATTTCCTCTTTTGAAGTCAGCATTCAGTTCTCTAGGTTGTAGACAGATTCAGAAGTAACCGAAGTCTTGAAAGCACTCCCTGAAACAGGAAGTTCCTTACAACTCCTTGTGTTGCTACAGGGTCCCACGAGAAGTAAAATAAATAAGACTCCACTTTAGGGGTTTACAGAACAAAAGGAAGACAACAGAAGCGTGTCTACAAGGCAGCAAGAACTCTGCAGCAAGGGCTCCAACAGAAGAGACTCTGGGTAGTTGAGACTATTCAGGAAAACTCTTGGAAGAGAACACACACACACTTGGACTGTAGTGGTACTTCAGTTGTATTTTAATAAATGAAGACTGCCTGAAGAACTGAGAGTAAAACAGTCCCATTGGTCAGCCTTACAGACCAGGTAGTGGTAACACACACCTTTAATCCCAGTAGCCACAATGACACACACCTTTAATCACAGGAGCCACAATTACATGCATCTTTAATCCCAGTAGCCACACTAATTGCCATAGAAATCTGGTGGTGCTTGCCTTTAATCCCAGCCCTAGAGAGGAATTTAAGATGGGGCAAGACAGCTCTCAGAGACAGTCTCATTCTAAGATTCTGAGAGGCAGGATCGCCATTTCAGACTAAGGTCAAGGTAAGAGCCAATGAGTGTTTTGATTTTCAGATCTTTAGATTGAACCCCAACTTCTGATCCTGAGTTTTTATTAATCGTGCTTCATTGGACCACCCCAGGCTGTTTCTCAGTAGAGTCTCACATGCCACCCCATGACAAGCAAGATAACAACTGCAGGAAGTCACAGGCTACACTTGGCATGAAACCCAGACTTCATGAGGTACAGTTGGGTCTCCACCAAGAAGTGAACCCTACCACTGTCTGAATTGCTGCCAGTCAGCTGTCACAGTCTTTCTGTCTCCTAGAAGTGACAGCAGGAGGGGGCACAGAGGGAACTGCAGGACAGAATTTGGGGACTTATCCAAGCGTCCAGGCCCTGCTGGTGAAACCGTATCTTTCCCACTCCTCCCTCCCTCCCTCTGATGTGAAGACATCTTTAAAGCTCTCAAGACAAACTCCTCAGGTTGCTGAAAGGGAGAGATGAGAAAAGGTATCTCAGTCTATAGAAGTTTTACTGAAGGAAGTTTTTATGATTCAGCATTGGAAGAGTCCATAGTCCCCTGTGCCTCAGTTTTCTCAAGTACTTCAAGGATATGGGACTAAGTGATATCCAGAGATCCTCTGTGAGAGTCATCCATTCCCAGACAGCATTCACTAGTGTTCCTCTCCAGCGTCAGTCTTTTGAACTAGGCGCTGGAATGACTAGACCACTTAGAAGTTCCTTAGAAGACGTGAGTCCCACAGGTAAGGACAAGGTCTGCTTCTAGTCCATTACAAGTTATGACCCTTACTAGGTCATTGGTAAATACTTGTTGAATGAATAAATGAATGAGTGACAGGTGAAAAGTGGCTATGCAGTTTGCATCCCATCATATTCTGTTATAACTGCACTAATTTCCTAGCATCATTAAAAGGTACTTCTCGAGTCCCAAAAGGACCCCCACCATGTCCTCACTGGTGATTCTAAGGCAGGTATTATTGAACACACTTGGAGAAAGGAAGCTGTGGAAGAAAAAAGAGAGTGGGTGAGGACCGGGGAAGCGTAATGAGGCTTCCTATAGAGGGGTTTGGACTCAGTGCTTTAGGAAGGTGGCCCTGGGAGTTGAAATTGAAGGACCACAGCAGCATAGGAGGGGATAGGATTAGACTTTTTAATGTAGCTTTCATGGTAGGTACCATGGAAAGCTTAACCTGGGACACTGGTGAAAACTCTTTCCCAACGGTCACCTCCAATCCTAGGGTGCCCCTGGCTGTGAAGTAGCCCAAGGCACTGGAAGAGAAAATGTCTACCAGAGCCACGCTGAGGTCCAGGTCCAGGCTGTTGTGGGATATTTGACAGTATGTGAAGATGTATTGCTGTGACTGGTGCCAATAGCTAGGCAGGAGGTATAGGCTGGAGTTCTGGGGAGAGAAAGGAAGAAGAGGAATCTAGGCGTGCAGGGGAAACCAGGAGACACATAGAGGAAACAGGAAGTACAAGACGGAAGAGAGGTAATGTCATGTGGCAGGACGTGGATGAATATAAATTGGTTAATTTAAGTTATAAGAATTAGTTAGAAACAAGCCTAAGCTATAGACCACGCTTTCATAATTAATAAGTCTCATGCCATTATTTGTGAGCTGGACAGCAGGACAGAGACTCATTACATATGGTGTCCAATGTGGGGCACATATTTCCACACAGGCTCCAAGAACACTTTTTAAAAAAAAACCTTCCAAACATGCAAACACAGAGCCAGACATTGCTTCCTAGCCCTGCAGTCTCTCAAGCAGGCCTTGGCATACAGAGGTACGGCTCCTAGCAACTACCAGCAGGCCTGAGCCAGCCAGTACCATGTGCAGAGCTGCCATGTGCAGAGCCCACAGAGGGTGAGTTTAAGACTTGGCTCACACTGTCAGAGAAGGCTGCAGGTGCACAGTAAAGCAGTCAGTCCAAACTGAGAAAACCTGTAGGTAGATACAGTACCAAATGGGTATAGACAGTCACAAAAAAAATAAGGCATGTAAGGATGGGAAATACACAGGACACCTGGATCCTGGATGGTGCTTTGTTCTCTTTGAATTTTTTGAATTCTGATGAGTGAATGGCAGTTGCTGAGAGGCATAGGATTATGGAAGGGACTGCTGGATTAAACCAGCCTGTATGCTTTAGGGATGTCTTGGCTTCAAAATGGAACACAGACATGAGGGGGAAAGGCAGGAAACACTACAGGACAGGTGATGTATATGCTGAACCCTCTATGCGGGAACAGCTCTGAGACTGAATGAGACTTGAAAAAATCTTGTTGGCTACAGAGTTTTCATGACTTATTATTACATGCGAACCTTTCATATAACATGGATGGAAATCTGTATTACAGTTTGGTTATACAGTCCAAATGGACTTATAAAGTTGACAAATGCCTTTTACCTGCTCAAACAGAAAATCATCTTTAGCTGACTTGTACACAATGCACTCTCCATACTTAGGTTAATACAGATATGTGTGTTATCTTTGAAAGTTTGTATGTTTTCAGAACTAAAGGACTAGACACCAATAAAGACAAGACAAATAGGCCAGGTGATCCAGCCTCACAGACTACTCCAGCCAGACTTTAGATAAGCCCTACATTTTCCCATCACACCAAGACTAGATAACAGCTAACTCTCCCAGAACTTGACCATTATCCCAATTTTATCAGGGTTTCCTAAAGACACCATAACCCCAAAACAATAGAAAGCAGTCTAGAAAACGTGATGCCCAGATTCCCAAGAGGTAGGATGGGTAGTTTTTGATTGTTCAGTGGATTATGGATGTTTGCCATTTTGGGGGGAGGGTGGTTACAAATTGTTATTGGTCATAGCCAGGAAGAAAGCTGAACAAAGATTCTTGTTTGTTTAGAAAGAGAAAGGGATCTCTTTCTAAAGGGAAAAGGGGGGATATAGTATAGAAATGATGGGATAAAAGGGTACCTTGTTGAGTCTACTTTTGAACAATCACTATTCTCAAATATTTTGCATTGGTATAGATTTTTGTATATTGATACAATTTTAAAGTTATATTTGTTATAGTCTATATAAGTTCTACTATTGTTTAAGATATTGTACCTATGCAACTCATTTTAAAATGTTACATAAAAGCCAGGCAGTGGTGGTACATGCCTTTAATCCCAGCACTTGGGAGGTAGAAGCAGGTGGATCTTTGTGAGTTCAAGGCCAACCTGATCTACAAGAGCTAGTTCCTGGACAGGCACCAAAGCTACAGAGAAACCCTGTCTCAAAATACCAAAAAAAAAAGAAAAAAAATGTTAAAAAAAAAGTTCTAGTCCTTGAAAGCTATAATTACAAACTATTTAGGATAATTTAAAAATTTGGGTTAGTAGCTAGTCATCTATAACAATCAAATTTGTAGTCATGGTAGGTATGTTTTCAAGATTAAACAGATATATTTTAGATAGATGGTCTTCAAACACTTCAGAGACCTACAGAATATGGCATTCAAGATATTTTAATAAAGAAGGCTTTCCATGACCATGAGGCGCATCTACTCCTGAAAGTACCAATCTACTTCAGAAAAGGATGTGGGCATCCACCAACCTCCATGTGGAGTTTATTTTCTTATGGCAAAGCTAGTCACTGAGCAATAAATTGTCCTTGCCTTGACTGCTGACAGTATGTTGTCTAAAATTGGACAAATAGGACATAAAAGAAGGCAACTGCAGAACTTTGCCAAGACAAGGTAGGACAGTCCTTCAAAATTCCTCCTTCACAGAAAGGTCTGTCAGATATTCTAGGTCTATAGACCAAAGATAGTTGCCCAAATGCTGCAGAGGAACTTTGGGTGACTATTCAGGCAGCCAGCTGTTTCTGTCATTTCTATAGTTTTGAAAATTGTCTGTTTTGCACTTCCTATTTATTCAGGTAATATATCATCAGGTATTTGTTGATGCTGAAGACTAGATAGTTATAGTTACAATTTTCCTTGTTACCAAATTCAAAAATAAAACTCATAAAAGAAGTATAAGGTGTATAAGATTAAGAGACATAAAAGCTTAAGTTGTTTTTCTAAAAAAAACTGTTTTGAGATCTAAAAAGATACTTTTGGGTTGGTAATACAAGTTAGAGTAGAAAGTTAATTAGGTATAAAACTTTAGATTTACCAAGATGGGATAGATAATAGAGTATTTTTTTCCAAAATTGCCAAATACAAATGGACTAGACATTATAAATGTAATTCATGCCTGATTATTGTTCTTATTGTATATGTTGTTATTTACTATGTTAGAGTTAAAACCTTTCCTTTTTGTTTAAACAAAAAGGGGGAAATGTTATGGGGTATTTGTACACTGTGAACATTTGTATTGTTGTTATTGGTGCTATAAAAAGCTGACTGACCAACAGCTAGGCAGGAGATATAGATGGAATTTCCAGGGAGAGAAAGGAAGAAGAGAAGAATTTAGGTACACAGAGAAAGCCAGAAGACATGGAGAGGAAACAGGAGGTGTAAGATGGAAGAGAGGTAATGCCACATGGCAGGATGTAGATTAATAGAAATGGGTTGATTTAAGTTATAAGAACTAGTTAGGAATAAGTCTAAACTATAGGCTGAGCTTTCATAACTAATAAGAAGTCTCCATGGCATTATTTGGGGGCTGGCTGGCAGAACAGAGTCTTGTTACACCAGGGGACTATGAATTTACCCCATTTATGCAAACTGGATTCCTATAAAAAAATAATAAAAATAAATAAATAAAAACTACAGATATCTTCCCAAGACAGAAGATCCTAAACCTGGAGATGTGAATGTCTTCAGCTCAAAGGGTGAATGAAGAGTTGGAAGGGAGGAAGACTTTGGACCAAAGGACACGGCAATCTGAAGTTCACAGAGAAGCAAGACCCTGAGTATGATATCACAAGGGGCCGGTTCACTTCTGCTTGCACATCTCCCTCCTCAAAATGAGCACAACCATGGAGATGTCATGACTGGCCAGCTCTAATGTGCCAGTGTTTTCCCGACCTCTGCTTTGGTGGTTACTGTCCCCCAGGGCTCCAGAACAGGCTCAGCTCTTCTACACAAACACTTTGAAGGCAGCACCCCTCAGACATACTGGCCATTGCTTTCTGCTGTTTGCCAGAGCTGTCACATTCAATCCTAACAGCTCTTCAGAGGAGCAGATGGTGTTTCTATTTTAGAGAAGGGGAGAATGTGTGCCTTGTTCAAGGTCACACTAAATCTTAATGTATACCCTTGTCAATCCTGTCTTCTCTGGTCATATTTCACTGAACTTTCTCCTCTTCGAGCTCAAGGGAACCGCACCTCAATTCCTTTGACTGCCATGTTTCCACTGATAGGTTAGGATGTGCGCTCCTGCCTCCTGGGAAGGGCAGGGGCTGACTGAGAAACCTCAGTGAATGAGGAGAGGGTGGGTCCTTAAAAGGCTCTCTTAGATGCCAGATGCTTGGTAAAGTGAAGTGGGAGTGTGGCAGCTCATTTCAGGAAGGAGATGGGGGTCTTTCCTGGCATGGGAAAGGTGGGGATTCCCCAGGAAGAGGCCACTCTCTACCTGGGTACAGGCCGAGAGGGATACAGCTGAGAGCTAATTCTGATAAGGTACTTGAAGAGCACGTGGTGTGGCTACAAGATGCTTTGGTGGTACAAGTGGGTCCCAAAAGGGGGCTAAGGGCTTTCCCAGAACACCAGAGGGTGTGGTATGAGGAGTAAAGACACAGAGTCTCAATCTCCTGAACACCAAAGGGTGTGGTAGGGGCAGTAAGGACGGGAGTCCAGATCTCCTGAAAACCAGAGGGTGTGGTTAAGGGATTAAGGCGTCCAGATCTCCTGAACACACACTTGTACCCACCATCATGGAGGTAGGTGTCCGGGCTGTGCAATGGAAGAGGGCAATACTCTCCTAGATCTCACAGACTGCCATCAGCCTGAAGAGATGGGCCCTGTCTGAGCCCTCTGGAGCTGCTTATCACATTTAAGACACAGGGGGAGGGAACAGTGACTTACCTGTATAGGTGTAGAGTGAGTGCTGGATGGTTGTAGTGTACCACCAGAGAGGGTGAGACTAACCCAAGGTCACACAGTAAATGCACAGTGAAGCAGAAACTTGTCTGCACGGTCTGGGTCTTTTCAGCCCCAGAAGGGCCTCCTGGAAGAATGCAATCCTTCCAGCCCAGACTGAGAGCAGCAGGAAGGGGTACAGGCTTTAAGAAATCTGGATCATTCCTGTGTTACCTCCACCCCAACTCTTCCTACCTTCTGCCCTGAAGACATCCAAGACTGCAGATGAGCCCGGAACTTCGAAAATTCCTTCAGGATGGGTCACCTCCATTTCCCACAGAGTGAGAGCCTGTGCTTTCCATCCTTCGCTAAACCCTGCCTTTCCTATAAACCTAGCTCAGAGGCACAGAAAATGACCATGTGCAAAGCCACAGAGGAAGTCGTATTGAATTCCAAAGACTCACATAGACCAAGTTCTCTGACCACAAGGCAATGTAATGAGAGGTGAAAAGGAAAACACAAACCTTCCTAGGCTGAGAAACTAAAAACCCACTCCTAACTCATCCGAGAGTTCGAGAGAGGAAATTATAAGTGGCATTTGTAAAATATTCAGAGCGGAATGATAAGCACAAGCAGTCCCTAAGTCATTTCCTCTGTGAAGTCATCCCTGACCCAACACTGTTCCTCCAGATAACTTTCTACCCTCCCAGCTCTGTGTCCCGGGGGCTGACCTCTGGGCTGTGGCAACAGGTTCCCCTATCCTTGGCTTTTCTGGGACTAGGCTATGGGGAACTTGGCCAAAGATGAGAGGAAAACAGGGAAATGAGGGCTTATTTGGCCGGTAGATTTCCCTTGATTGCTGTGAGCTGGGTATGGCCTCTACTTAGGCCACAGAGCCTTCTCATAGCTTCCATTCCCACTGTACCTCAGCCTAGGGTTACTGACGGCTGTCTGCGCCCCTTGCTACCTCATTGGTAATAGTCTCTACATGGCTCCCCTACAACTAACTACACCCATAAACAGCACCACTATTAAATACTCCTGAAAACACTCAGGGTGCTCTGTGTGTTTCCTGTGGATTCCCCCACTCTTGCCAGTGTTTGACCATCAATGCATTATGTTACCCCATGTCCACTTCTGACCCTGTTACCTGTGTATGTTGTGTCCCAACTGTTGGGCTATCAGCACCTGAAATCAGAGACTGATTCATCATCTGGATTTCAGTGTGCTGTCATGCTCAACAAAATGCATTGGTTGTTATATCAAATTAAAAGGAGCAAATGTGAAACCTATGCATATGTGTTTATATGAAATTTGGGACAGATTAAGACTTGGGCACAAAGCAGTAGAGAATTTTATGCTGGAACAGAAATAAGCTCTTGGTCAAAGAATGGATCCTCAGTTCTGACCAAAATTCTCAAGGATCTGTGTGTTCTCATGCAATTGAGAAAGCAGGCCCAGGCTCAGACCCAGGGAATCCCAATAAGGCATCTGTGCCATGGTATGAAACCACCTGTAGCTCTAGCGGGTCCCCTGTCACACCTGCTCACCTTCTGTATTGTTTTTCACGCTGTGACTAAACGCTCAGGAAAAGTGTTTTTTATCAGCTCACACTTTGGGAGTGCAGATCACCACGGTGGGGAAAGGATGACAGGAAGAGCATGAGGTGGCTGGTCACACTCCCAGAGATGTGTCTCCTTGGGCAATTCTGAAGCCAGTGACACTGACAATGAAGATTAACCATAATGCCTAGACTAGAAAGTCTTCAATTTCCTCACCCCAGATAGAGTCTGCAATCTGGCTTCTGGGAGCAAGCCATGGTATGCATTGAGCCCTGATGTGGGATATTGGCCTGTTCTCAGGGGAGAAATCTAGGTAGAAAAGTGGGTAATGCAGATCAAATATGTAGAGGTTTGAAACCGGTTGGAAAGGGCTGGGGTAGGAGCCGCTCTGCAGAACAACAGAGACAAAGGTTGGAGATAAGAAATGGTGACTTTGGTTGGTGTGAGAATCTGCCCAGCCAGACAAGGTCCCCAGCTGGTGTGGGGAAGGTGACGAATTCTTTGAACCTTCTTTGGGAAGGAGGGTGGAGGAATCACTCCAGTGACCTAGTCCACGGCTCCCACTGCCTATTCATTCACTCATTCGTGTGTGTGT